TATTCTGGTGCTCTTCATCATGTTTCAATATTCACTGTTTTGGTGCTATGACAGTGGTCCAATGCTATTCATAAGGCTTTCAGAGACTAAATTTTCAGAAGTAATCTGTCTTTCCTTCTTCCTAGTCTGGAAGCTCAGCTGAAATCTTTCCACCATGGGTGACCAGGCTGATATTTAAAGTACCAGTGGTAGAGCTTCCAGAATCACAGCAACATGCAAGCCACCACAGTACAACAAACTGACAGATGAGTGGTGGGCTCTTGAGCATAGAGAAGCAATAGGAGTGGAAGAAATGATGAAGTAAAAGAGCTGAACAGAAAATTTCAAAGAGTAGCTCCAAAAGACAAAGTCAAATATTTCAATGAAATTAGAAAACCAAAAGGAAAGAAACAAAGCCAGCATTTCTCAAGCTGAAAGAACTAAAGAAAAAATTCAAGCCTCAACATGCAATAGTGTAAGAGTCCATGGACAAAATATTAAATGCCACAGGAAGCATTAAGAGAAGATATAAGGAATATGCAGAGTCATTGTACCAAAAAGAAATGGCCAGCTTTCAACCATTTCAAGAGGTAGCATATGAGCGAGAACCATTGGTAGGGAAGGAAGAAATGAAACCTGCAGTGAAGGCATTGATGAAAAACAAGACTCCAGGAATCGATAGACTACAAATTGAACTCTTTCAACAAACTGATGCAGCACTGGAGGCACTCACTCATCTCTGCCAAGAAATTTGGAAAACAGCTATCTGGCCAACTGATTGGAAGAGATTCACATTTGTGACTATTCCGAGAAAGGTGACTTAACAGAATGCAGAAATCATCAAACAATATCATTATTATCTTATGCAAGTAAAATTTTGCTGAAGATAATTAAAAAACAGTTGCAGCAATACATTGACATAGAGCTGCCAGAAATCCAAACTGGATTAAGAGGAGGATGTGGAACAAGGGATATCAGTGCACATGTCAGATAGGTTTTGGCTGAGAACTCAGAATACCAGAAAGATGTCTACTTATGTTTTATTGACCACACAAAGGCATTAGACTGTGTCGATCATAAGAAACTATGGATAACATTGCAAAGAATGGGACTTCCAGAACACTTACTTGTGCTCATGAGAAGCCAGACAAAGAGGCAGTTGTTAGACCAGACCAAGGGGATACTGAATGGTTTTTAAATTGGAAAAGTTGTGTGTCAGAGTTGTGTCCTTATACAATATTTATTCATTCTGTATGCTGATCAAATAATATAAGAAACTGGATTATATCAAGAAGAATGTGGCATCAGGATTGTAGAAAAACTCATGAACGACTTGCGATATGCAGATGAAACAACATTGCTTGGTGGAAGCAAAGAAGACTTAAAAAATATTTAGTGATAAAAATCAAAGGCTACAGTCTTCATTATAGATTGTACCTCAGTGTAATGAAAATGAAAATCCAAACAACTGAAACAATAAACAATGGATAAGAGATAGAAGCTGTCAAAGATTTCATTTTGCTTGGATCTGCAATCTATGGTCATGGAACCAGCAGTAAAGAAATCAAAAGATACATTGCATTAGGATTCAAATGACTTCTTCCAAGTGTTAAAAAGCCAAGGTGTCACTTTGAGGACTTAGTGCACTTGACCTAAGCCATGGTAATTTCAATCACCTCTTATGCATGTGAAAATTGGACAATAAATAAGGAATACTGTAGAAGAGTTGATGTATCTAAATTATGGTGTTGGCAAAAAATTATTCAAAGTACCATGGATTACCAGATGAATGAACAAATCCATCTTGGAAGAAGCATAGACAGAATGCTTCTTAGAAGTAGGGATGGCAAGAGTTAATCTCTTGTACTTTGAATATGTTGTCAGGAAGGACCAATCCCTGAAGAAGGACATTATACTTAGTAACATGTTATTGTTGTTAAGTGCTGTAGAGTCAATTCCAACTCATAGCTATCCTGTATAGAGTTTCCCAGGAGCAGCTGGTTGGTGTGAACCATGAACCTTGTGGTTAGCAATCCAGTTCTTATCCTACAGCTTCTTATCTTAAAATTCTTATCCTACCACACGAGGACTCCTTGGTAAAGTGCTGTTGTTGTTGTTAACTGCCATCAAGTCAGTTCCAACCCATAGCAACTCTGTATAGGGTTTCCGAGGAACAGCTGGTGAGCTTGAACTGCTGACCTTGTGGTTCAAACTGACTTTGCAGTCCAGTGCATTAACCCACAGTGCCACAGCAGTGTAGGGTCATCAGAAAATAAGAGAACTTTCTATGAGATGGATTGACACAGTAGCAGCAACAATGGGCTCAAACAGAACAATAATTGTGAGGACGGTGCAGAACCAGGCAGTGTTTTATTCTGTTTTTCCTGGAGTTGCTATGAGTTGGAACTGACATGATGACACATGAAAACAACAGCTCTGAAGAAATACACACGCACTCATAGTAATTAAACACAAGAATTAAAATAAAATAAAGGAATGAGAGCAACATACATTAACATAGACAGAGCTCTGTAGATAATGTTGAATGTGGGGGAACATCAATGGCAAGACTTAAACCATTTACATTTTCTAACTTATACTGCTGAGTTGATAAAGACACACATGATAAAGACATACACACACACACAAAGACCCAGAAAAACATTGTATATGGATACATGCATGTATTTTTTTTAATGGTTTAACTGGAGAATCGTACACCACCAAGTTTAAAATAGTGTTTGCCTCTAGAGGAACAGAAAGAAGAATGGATGAAGGTAGGGGTTTTAAATCTCAATCCTTAATATTTTATTTTTTTTTAAAAAAGAGAGGGAGATGACAAATATGATACAAGGTTTATTCTTAAATCTTAAAATTATGCATGTGTAGGTCTCCTTTCAATTTTTCATACTTTTAATATGTTTGAAATATTTAATTACTAGCCATTTAAAATAAGAAATGACACTGCCTTGTTATGCTAGATGGTAAATCATAGGATGACATGATGTCAGTGGTGAACTTTAGATCTGTTGTTTCTTGTTGATTATGTGAGATGAACAGTAACAGTGGTTCCCAGATCTCTCAGAAACCAATTTCTGAAAAAAATTGATATCTCCAACACTGCTTTCTCTTCACTTTCAAAGACAAACAAGAAAAAAAGAACAAGACTGACAAAGGCAAGGCTTCAGTTCCCACTGACTCAGCCCCCTCAAGCATAAGGACTCATTTAATACATTACATAATTAACATTAAGAGCAAAATATATGCACTGTTTTACAGAATTTGAACTTTCATCCCCAAAGCAAAAACCAGAGCTATTGGTAGCACCTTGCCCATGATAAAGGCAGCCGTAGAGTAACTATTGGTGGACCATGGTCCTAGAATGTACCAAGAACTGATACGAGAGAGATTAAACAAGAGTGTATTTGAAGGATGGAGGTAGCTCCTGGGAATGAACTCATCCTGAGGGTGTACACATACTGTGTCCAGGAAATTTTGAGTCCAGCATGGAGTGTCCCTGAGATCATTCTCCAAGGTTTTATACTTGAGTTCTGGACAAGGGAGCTTCAACAATAAAGGAGGAAAATCTAAAAGAACTAGAACAAGAACTCAAGAGTAACATCTGAGTCAGCATCATCACAGCAGGGGGATAGTGTCAGCTTCATCTCAAGGAGAGAAGGCCTAACTAGCAATTTGACCAAACTTGAGATGGCACACACAGTGATGGAAGTCATTAACCTCAGTCAGATATCAGGCACCAAAAGAAGCAGGGCACAGTACAACTGTAGCTTTTAGCATTTATCAGAGACCAGAGACTTAATACTGTACTTTGCTCTAAATAATCTTTATTGTTGTTACTTGCCATTGGGTCAATTCCAACCCATAGCTACCCTAGATAGGGTTTCAAAGGAGCAGCTGGTAGGTTTGAACCACCAACTTTGGGGTTCAAACTGACCTTATGGTTCAGCACATTATCCTGCAGCACATCTTTGTGGGGCTCCTAAACTTCAAATTTTAGATCTGTTGTTTTTGTTAAGTGCTGTTGAGTCAGTTCCGACTCATAGCGACCCTGTATAGGGTTTCCAAGGAGTGACTGGTGAGTTTGAATGACTGACCTTGTGGTTCAAACCAACCTTGTAGCCCAGTGCTTATCCTTGTTGTTATGTGTTGTGGAGTCAGTTCCAACTCATAGCGACCCTGTACAGGATTTCTGAGGCTGTAAACCTTTATGGGAGCAGAAAGCCTCATCTTTCTCCCATGGAACAGCTGGTAGTTTTGAACTGCTGACTGTGAGATTAGCAGCCCGATTCGTTACCACTATGCTACCAGAAGAGCTCCTTAGTGCTTATCCATAGTAAGTGTTTAATAGATACTAGCTCCTACCCATCTCTTTCTGTAGGGACTTGGGAAAGAAATGTTTTTAGAAATATTGACCGTTGTACTTTACAGAATATATTTCCATAGTGAATGTGTTCATCATATTCAGATGAAGCCTGTTGCCTTAGTGCCCCCTCGCTTTCTGCTGGCCTGACATGATGCTAGGCTCATTGTGCTCAATGAATGCTAATTAATGGTTATTGAAGACCTTTTAAGAGAGAACTAACCTATAAAGTCCTTCTTTGCTTTCAAGTGGCTTTATATGAGAAGCTTGCACACACAGGGTGAACACTTTGAAAAGAATGAATGCAAATGAGAATCATCTCTGCTTTGAAGAGGAAAGTTTATTGGGAGATTTACAAAGGGATTGGGGGAACTGCAAGAAGGTTGCAACAGCAGAGAGAACCACAAAACACCTGATCTGATATTTTCATAGCTCCAACTTGTCAGACCATCAGGACTCAGAACTACTACAAGACAGATGTCTGGATGGAAAAGAATCATGTGGATCTAGGCTAAGAGCCACACTACGACACTGGGCATGTTGTTTTTGCTCCAGGACTGAGATTTGTGGAGATGACTTAAGGCAGGGTCCCAGTGACTGATGATTGTCAAGAAGCAGGGGTAGTCCATCAAAGGCTCTTTCATCCCTGCACAATCCTCCTGCTGGCCTCAGGGCACCGAGCACCAAAGGCGTTGCAGGGACCACGGGGAGAGCATATTCCACAAGGTATGCAGGGATTGGTAATGCAGGGTCCAATGGGCTTGTCATAGGCATTGGTCATAGTACAGGGATTGTAGGGCAGCCTGGGGCACAGAATGGTTAGATCATGAGTTTGAGATGGGTAATAAAAAACTGGGGGGAAAGAAATACCCTCAAGGAAACCTGGGAACCATAAAAAAAACCATCCTCTGAAGTCTTAGGTAGACAAGGCTTGGTCAGTACTCGCTCTACAAAACTCAAATCCCAGTCCTCACTCGATAACCCTGGAAATGAGGGGATGTTCCTTAACCCTTCTGAGCCTCAGCCTTTTCACCTATAAAATGAGACTAATAATACCTAACAAAAAGAATTGTTGAAAACACTGTACTAGGACATGTTAATAAAAATTACTGTACTATCCCCTATTAGTTATTGAGTTATCTCTTTTGATATGCAATGTTTTAATCTACAACATGCTAATAATGATCCCCACTCTGCTTGATTCAGATAAATCTAGCAAGAATCCATGAAACAAGCGATTTGAAAGTCTTTGTTACATCAGAAAGCACTCTTTAAATGTGAATGGTCTGTCAAGATATGGTACATTCAGAGTGGTATGGCTATAGAATTATTTGTGAATGGTGATTTTTGTCATTGCTTTCCCTTTTATCTATAACAAGCCAACCCTGAAGATATAGAGCTTTATTTACCCAACAACTTTCCAATGATCACCCATGAAGAAAACAGTCAAGTCTCATGAATGTCTTTTGGGAGAGAAAAATACATTTAGCCCTGGGAATGAAAATAGAAAATACCTTACATTTCCACTGCTGTAATATAAAACACTACTCACTGGATTTTCTATTACAGGCATACTGGCATCTGAAACTGACCTGGTATTGCAGAACGTGTAGACCTGGTCAGAAGTTCGAGGCCCATTGGGCCCAAGTGTTGCAGACAATGCAGGCCACAGGCTCTGAGGAACAGATTCTAGCCACCTAGCAGTTATGGCAAATTGGTTTTTCATCTTAGTATCTAGTGATGTTTTTTACTAAATGCAGACATGAAGCCTTGATATCCACAGATAAATGTAATATTTTCCTTAAGCTGAGACTGTAAAGGTTTCAAAGGTTAAGCTTTTCTCCAAAGGATTAACTAAAAATAACTTGGCTACTTCCTGATTCTTTGTTCCATAGACAAAAGGACATCCTCCTTAAACCTGTCCCAGGTGCAGGCTATTCAGCCAGGTTTCTGAAAATCTGGCTCAGGAAGCCAACACAGCGGGACTCCTCCCAAGCCTTTTGACCTTCCCTCTCACCTTCTCCCAACTGAGCTCAGGGGCTATAGATATGTTAATTGAGCCTGAGAAACCAAGTTGCGGGCCTGGGATTCAAATCAGCGAAGTACGATGTAAAGTTGCCTGAATGTCTGGAGAATTACGTATGCTAGCTGTACTTTGTCTTAGTCCCTCCCAGCTTGGTGTGAAACTCCTCCCCTAAATAAAACAGAGGTGCAGGCTGACCCAGGGGTGCATTACAGGCAGGCAGTGAAAGAGTGCTTTACAGCTAGCAAGGCATGCATTACGGGCACAGCTAAGATGTTTACCATACAGGACCTTACTGGCCTTATGGCTAATATGTTCTCCACGCCAGAGCTGCCAGACGCCAGTAATGCATCCATCCTGGTTTCGGGGTGTCTCTTTGTCTCTCTCTTTGGGTCTTTCTGTGTATTCTTCTGCTATCCCTATCGCCTCCAGATATCCCCTCCTCGTGAACCAAACACTCATGTAGAGGCCGGTCCCCGACAACCTGGCAAGTCCCTTTTTTATTCTTTGTTAGAACTATGCAATTGTCTTACAGGAGGACCACCTGCCAGATACTCACTTGTAGTCCTCGTTCTCCAGCAGGCCACGTTACATGATGATCTCACCCTCCAGCCATGCCCTGACAGGTATATCATATAGCAACCTTGTTATAAGACTATCTCTCTCACAAACACAACAAAAAAAATAAAATAAATAAAAACACTGTCAACTATAGTACTGCCTACCTACATTGCAATTTCGTCTTTCATTACCATATATATTCTCTGCTATGGACCCTAAAAATGCCTTCTAATTTCTCATCTTCTTGCCAGGCAAAGTTCATGCCTGAAATAATTTTCCCTAATCTCAGACTTGCACACACTCAGCAACATCCAATCTAAATTTATTTTAGAATTATGCTAATATTGTACACAAATATTTGACTGAAGTTAGCTGTGGAAAGTATATAAAGTTTTAATGACCTTCTCATGAACCCTCATTAGTATTATTACTTCTTTATTCTTCCTACAGTATTTTATGGTCTACATCATGCTTTAATTAGATAAAGTTGTTGACTCTTTTTAACAATATGAAGTCAACAACAACAAAAAAAATTGATATGAACAGAATAGCTGGGTTTTCAATGACTTGATGCAGTGTTGCCTCCTTCTTGGAGTCTTCTAATCACCCATCCATAAATACTCTCTCCCACCTCTGAAATCCATCATTTTTTATTAACAACTTTCTGCAGCCATAGCTAGGAAGGAGAGTTAAAATTATCTGTACTCGGTTATATTAAAATGATCATCCAGGTCCACAATTGATGACAACATTGAGTATGCACATAAAATGATTCTATTGAACAGACTAGTGTCCATGGATTATGTGGCAAATCGTTTGCAAATAAACCTTGGCTTTGCCTATGAAGTAATCCATGAATAATTTAGGTTTGGAAGATTTTGTGCTATATGGATACCAAAGCAACTCATGGAAAAACATAACCAGAAGCATTTAGACATCTGTAAACAAAATTTGGACCAATAGTCAAAGGATGGTAAAAGTTTCTTTAAAACAACAACAACAAAAATCATTACTGGTGATGAGATATGGATTTATCACTACGAGCCTGAGAGTAAATGGCAGAGTATGAAATAGAAACATTCTCAATCACCAACTAAGAAAAAGTTCAAAAGTCAACCATCAGCTTGAAAATTAATGCTTATATTTTTCTGGGACTCTTAAGGGTCAGTACTGGAATACTATCAGGAAAACGCTTCAATAATCAACAGTGCTCATCACAGTGAGATGCTCACTGAAATGCTGAACCTAAACACAAAGGACTGCTGTTCAAAGGCTTTGTGATCGTGCATGATAATGCATGTCCACAAACCTCTGCCCACACTGTTGACATTCTGGAAAAATTTTGTTTTGAGGTGTTAAAGCATCCTCCCTGTATCCCTGAACTTGCTCAATTGGACTTTCACCTGTTTGGTTCCCTGAAAGCAGCCCTTGGAGGAAAAAGATACACCTCTGATGAAAAAGTGAAGACAATGGTGCATTCTTGGCTCCCGCTCAGCCTAAAACATTTTTAATAAGGGAATAATAAAGCTAGTTGATGGATGGGCAAAGTGTATTGAAATAAAGGAGATTATGTCAAAAAATTTATGTATTTGTCTTTTCTAAAAGTTTATGAAAATAAATTCTACAGCCAGAGTACAGATAATTTTTTACTTACGCTCATATTTTAGTCTGTATGACAGATGTCTTGATGTCAAATCCCTTCTAGACTTTATTATAAACATACTGTGGGCCAGGATGTATTTGTGTGTTCTCAATACTCCATACAGTACCTGTCAGATACAATAAGAGATTGTTGACTATGGTTGTGTGAGTCAGATAAAACTAAGCTGAATCAATATGTAAGATTGGGACTGTAGACTTGAGAACTCTAAGAATTCAGAGATGAGACAAGAAGAGGGAAGATGCTGTTAGTGTTTGTTAGTGTTCATCTTTGGCAAGATGAAAATATGGCCAGCATGTGTGAACCCATAATGTCTTGTAGTCCCACCTGACAGGTTTTCCCAGAAATCTTTAGCATCATATTCACTTGCTGTCCTCACTTTCCAACAGGCTCTGGTATGTGTTGATCTCACCCTCCAGGCATGCCTTGACATCCAGCCGCACTTGGTACTCCTGGTTCTGACACTCCAGGTCACAGTGGATCTCAGACAGCTGGGACTCCACATTGGTGATCATGCACTGCACTTGGGAAAGCTGAGAGCTTTAGTGTACCTCTGTCTCCATTAGTGTGTTTTCCAGAGAGTTTCTCTGTGATGGGAAAGACCAAAAATTAAAATGTCAATATTCAGACACAGCCTCCTTTGAACGATTTCTCTATAATGTTCCAAACATATGTTGCAAGAGTTAAGGAGAGTTTATGATCTGAAGGGACCCCAGAGACTCAATTCCCTGGCTTCGCATTTCTCAGCAGGACACCTGAACAGTACCCACTAGGTTGTGCTGGGCCTGCAGCTCGATCTCCAGGACATTAACTGTGCATCTCAACTCCATGATCTCTGCCTGGAGGGACTGCAGCTGCTCCAAGCTGTACACCACCTGCTTGTTCAGCTCCTCATTCTGAAATATCCAGAGGGGAGAAGATAGGGTCAGACCCTGTCTTATAGACCCAAGAGGGGCCTCAAGTCCTCAGTGGCCACATGCTTAGATGTCCACCTGTGAAGTAAACCATTCCTCCACATCCCTGTGGTTGGTCTGCACCAGGGCCTCATACTGAGACCTGGTCTCATTCAGCACACGGTTCAGGTCCACGTTGGGGGCAGCATCCACCTCCACATTGAGGCGCTCACCAATCTGGCTTTGCAGGGTATTGACTTCCTGAAGGAATAAGGGAAAGAAAGAAACTCAGAGGGAAGTCTATAAATAATTTGATAGAGTCCAATGTAGTAGAGAGAGTATTGTTCTGGAATGTAGAAAACAGTTGATGTAAAAGTCCACTGTTAGCTTTGGCAAGTCAGACCTCCTATCTCTTTTCCTCATCTCTCTAATGAGCCTGATTGATTCAATGATATCTAAAGTTTCTTCCCACTCCAGGATTTTATCACACCTTTTTGATCTTCCTACTGCTCACTGTAAGCCTGGCATTGTAAGTGGTTTATAGTCATTGCTATGTAAGTATAAAGAGTCCAGGTTTGAGTCTCCTCTTTCATTTCATGTCTTCTAATTTATTTATTTGTTTTATTTATTTATTTATTTGTTTGTTTGCTTATTTATTTATTAACCCCACCCCCCAGGGTATTCCAGTAAGTTATAGGCTGAAGATGGGCTTACATGTTTTCTGTTATGATGTTTCTGGCTATCCCACCCTCTCAAGTGTCTATTTCACAATGGTAGGCAAGGGAGACCAAGATTTAAAAGACAGCCAAGCATCTTAACATTATTCGCCTCTTTTCACTTTTCAAGCCATGCCTCAACCCCTGTATCCAGAAGCCCTGTTATTCCAACGTTGTGCATACATCGTCATGTACCTCTGTTTCTCCTAGCCCATGCGAGCCT